CATTTAAATAACTTTAAGAAATTATTCTCTATAGATGCGTTAATTTTAAAACTTTACATACATAGACAGTTTCACCGCTGTTGGTCATGAACGTCTTAACCAATAACTTATAACCTTTTCGCGTGTTTGCATCAGAAATATGAAAATAAGTTTTCTTCATTAGACTCTTTCTCTTGCGGGTATTAAATGACAAACATTAAGACATATTGTTAAGTTATTTTATTATTTAATTCGCAAACTTGACCACAGTTGCACGTCTCAGCCCCCCAGTAGCACAGCGGTATGTCTGCGGACTTACAACGCTAGAATCCGGGTTTCGATACCCGTGGTGGGCAGAGCACGGATAGCTCTTTGTGTAGCTTTGTACTTAATTACAAACAAACAAGCAGTTGCACGTCTATATTCACGTGATAATGTGCCAAAACACCCGAATTTAATAATAATCATAAAAGAAAATGTGTTTGTTTGTTTTTAATCACAAAGTTTCAGAATGGGATATTTGTGCTGTGTTTTCCACAGTAACTGAACCCAAAAAGTTTGGCGTTATAAACCCTCAAGCTTAAGAGAAGGTGGAAGAGAAAATTTCGCTTTCATGTCTTAACGTACGAATATACCACGTTATGAACGTGCATCTGCATCTAACATTTGATTTCATCCATATAGGCCACGCATAGCACAAAGTATGTACATCAAATGTATATCCAAGAAAATTAAGCATTAATAAGACAAAAATGATAATTTCTTATCTTTAGCCCCCTTAGTGGCACAGTTGTATGTCTGCGGACTTACAACGCTAGAAACCGAGTTTCATTACCCGTGGTGGGCAGAGCACAGATAGCCCATTGCGTAGTTTTGTACATAACTACAAACAAACAATCTTATCTTTACTGTTCAGCCGAGGCTATAGAGGCTTCCCCGCAGTTTTATATAGTATAGTTAATTTAGAGAAAATCAAATTTTTTAATCTTGTTTATGCCAGTTTTAGAAATGATATTGTGGTTTGGACTGAGAATAATGTTAGATGCGATATTTCTGTTACTTAAAATATAAAATTACCAAATTACCCACAAATCTTTCCTGATTCTGGCTCGCACTGAATCAGAAATAATGACTAGAATTAATATCCCATATGATAATTGGGAATATATAACAGAAAAATGTTTTTTTTTTCAAATATAAACAGCTTTCCCAGAAGTAGAATTATAATTTACTGTTTGCACGTAAATTAGATACAGTTTCTTAGTCTTATATTAAAGAAGGTTATTTAACGACTTGAATATTACGCATGCTATATTTTCAACTTCCTGTGCCGTTATCATGTATATATATTTCTTTTTTCACAAAATATTATATCTTTTTTTACACTGTACTATTGAGAAGTCAAAACCTTCTTTCACTACTAATCTAAGTTATATATACATATATATATTGATTTTATAGGATAGGAAATAAAATCTGGTCTTTCCCAAATTAAAACTTATTTTACATTTAAATAGCACTAACTGCTTTTGTTCGATTAGGTTATTAAATTGAAAAAAACACAACTAATAAGGCACAAAGAAGAAAACCCGACAACCCGATAGCTTCCGAAAGGTAAACTTCCTTATTTTCAGCAAATATCAATATTTTAATCTTTTTTTGTCCGTCTTCTATTGTACTATAGAAAACTAATTTTCAGCAAATTCTGAAAGTGTATTTTTGTAAGTACCCTAATTATGCACTATTCTATCATGATTTAATACGTGCTTACTTAAGATGTATTATTGGTCCACGTTAGACCCCGTGGTTAGAGTGTTTAGGTGGGCGATTTGTACGATTCGCATCTAATTACCGCCAAAAGATAGAAAAGACCATACTAACTTAAAAACTAAATGCTATTTATCTCAGTGAAAGCTTAACCCAATTTTGTGAGAATGGCAAAAATAAATCGACTATATGAGTTCTATTCGGTTGAGGTGATTTTAATTAGAAAATGTATTAATAATACATATTTCAACTGTGGTTGTGGTTAAAAATTTATATTTAAATAATCAATATGATTTTTAGTCTTAGTTTATTTTTCAAAAAGACATTTTAGTGTTAATAAAACAAAAACCGTACTATGTATTTGTTCCTTGAACGAAAGTTAAGAAAATGCAATATTTTTTTGTTACGAAACAAAACGCTAATCAAGGAAAGGAAGTTTTCAACTTGGGAAATTTTGTTCTGAACTTTCAGTGTAAAACTTATATGCTTTATAAAACTATTAGTAAATATATATGCAAAGCAACTTTTGTGATGTAATTTGAATATTATTTAAGAAATATATTCAAGTACGTTATTAAGAAAACGTGAACAATCCTCGATGAAATAACTAACTATAGTGATGAAAGTATTGAACGTCAAAGTGCATTGCATTTGTCCCATTGCCTACAATTAATTGTTTAACCCTATTCTTGCCCTGTACATCACATTATTAGGACATAATGCTAAAGCGCCTGAATGTCGTATGTGATACATAGCTACATTTATTCGATATGAAGCTGATGCTCGTGAACTTGGCAATAGGAACTGGTTGTTTTTGGTTCAACACATGAGATTAAAAAAAGAGCTTCATATCAGCCTCACTTGTGATGCTCAAAGAGTGTGTGAATGATGATAGGTTCAGTTACTTTCACTCAACAGAAAATGTAGTTGCTAAAACTCTCCATTCTGTTTCAATAACACTGGAAGGATATGCTTCATTCTTACCTACTTAGGTAAGTAGTCAAATAAGCATGTCCATAAAAATCATTAAATGACCTGGATCAGGGAACGGGTTAAAAATATAATTCCGGGGGCATAAACCATGACGATAATAACAGATGTCAGTTTGAATGCTTAGAGTTTGAAATAAAATGATGGTTTAACTTACTCCTTGTTGTGGTTTCACCCTTAAAGCGATAAACCTAAAACAGTTTTGCGAAGGATGACATCTCTGCGTGGTTGGTCCAAGCAAGACCCGGTTGCTACCGTGCGGAAATGTGAAGCTGAAGTTCCGTGGCTCACTTCCCGTTACCCGCAGAAATAAATCGCGCTCCGTACTTTGGACCCGTGGGTGCGTTATAAGCGTGACGATCAAATCACACTATTCGGTCTCATAAGAGTATCCAAAATGTTGGCAGTGGATGGCGTTGAATAGCTGCCTTCCCTCTAGTCCTTCACTTCAAAATTAGAGATGACAGGCGCAGATAGCCCTCGTGTAGTTTTACACGAAATCCAACGAACAAACGGAATGTACGTGACTATCTCGTATTAGTGAAAAAAATAAAATAATGCTGCACGTATTAATCATGTCTAGCATTCCACGTGTTATTGACGATGCCCTATGAAAGTCATTATATTACTAGAGGTGCCATAAGATCCCAGAACTTCAGTATGTACCAACTCACATTCTATTTATTGTTCCTGTGTGACGTCAGAGTTTAGTTGCCCTTAGCAACGTCACGTCAATACCTGTATGGCCCGAGATTCTTACAGACCCTCTTGAAACAGCGAATTGTGAATTTACTGGTTCTTATTCGCACATACGTATCATATTCTTGCGCAGAAAAAAGTTTCATTATATTCACAAAAATATGAACGTAAAATCTTTCATATATAAAATCAAATGTAACGAAGTAATCTAATAGACACATCCAAGTGTTTTTTGTTTATTTCTTTTCGGATATTCACGGGACGGGAAAGTTGGACCACAACCCTAAAGTTCGTGTGTGTGTGTGTGTGTGTTTTTTGTTTTTGGCGGTAACGGGTTGTGAAACTGGACCCGCGGATCTACATCCAACACGCTAACCATTGAACTAAGCTCGGTCCAGTCTGTTGTATAAAATAGAGATAACCTAATAATTGTGTGTACTATGTCCAATATTGATATTCATGTAAAAGAAATGTTCCAAATAAAAAATTTCTGAAAGTATAAAAGTTTAAAATGAGACTGAAAAAATATAAACCATAAGATACATTATTTCCCAACTATTAACGTAGGTACCATTAGCTACTCACTATTGAGCTTGTATTTTATAAGAAATATACACCATAAGATACATTATTTCCCAACTATTGATGTCGGTACCATTAGCTACTCACTATTGAGCTTGTATACTATAAGAAATATACACCATAAGATACATTATTTCCCAACTATTGATGTCGGTACCATTAGCTACTCACTATTGAGCTTGTATACTATAAGAAATATACACCATAAGATACATTATTTCCCAACTATTAACGTAGGTACCATTAGCTACCCACTATTGAGCTTGTATACTATAAGAAATATACACCATAAGATACATTATTTCCCAACTATTAACGTAGGTACCATTAGCTACTCACTATTGAGCTTGTATACTATAAGAAATATACACCATAAGATACATTATTTCCCAACTATTAACGTAGGTACCACTAGCTACTCACTATTGAGCTTGTATTTTACAAGAAATATATATACCATAAGACACATTTTTTTTTTCAACTACTCCCTACTCATCACGTGTCTGAGTACACGTTAAACCAAAAGAACAATAACAAAACACAAACACATAGTTTGATCAGATCATTATTGTGCAAGTTAAGTAAAATTACTTAATTATATTACATAGTCATTTAAATAATTAATAAGAAAACAAAAAGTATCGGAAGTTCGTAGTAATATTGACTGAGAATATCAAAAAGTGTAAAAACAGTTTGTAAATTCAGGAAATTATTCAGTAGATTTTAGCATGTTTTGTATGCTACTAGATTAATTTTCAAATTAATATTAGTCAGTACATCGTATTTGTTGTTGGATGGATCTTAAATTTATTTTTCTGAAAGATATGCAAAGAACATATGTGAGCAGAAGTAAAAACTCACATTACTTCACTGATTAGCAAACTGGAACTAAGCCTATTTTGCGATGTTACGGTACTCAAGAGCCCGATAAAAACAAATCAGATGTGTAGTTACCGTTATAGAGCAACGTAATACGTTCATACCTTTGTTCTGGAGGTCACATGTGAGCCTAGAAGAAAACCAGTGATAGGATGAAAAAGAAGAGACCTTAGACACGTTGGAAAGAAATAAAAAGCACTCTCTATGAGAATACAGACGAAAACACAATGGAGAAGACACAGTACCTTCTCCAATGCTGGAGTAGGCTGACAGCTAGGTGTGTGGACTTAAACCTCTCACTCAGCAAATTATCGACCGACGGCGAGGGTTCCCCAGAATGAATGACGTAAACATTACTTTTGAGATGACGTAATTGTTTCCTTCCCAGAATGCCATGCAGTATATTCACATATTAATCTGTCTCAACCATTTCTTGTTTATAAACTATATTAAATAAATGTTGCAGAAGCCGTTAAGATGTACTTTCATTGGGTTATGTACACTTACCTAATATTATATTCACTCAACAAAACATAGCTTCCTAGTACATGTGATATAGTCACTTTGCTAATATTATACGTCTTTTATTATTTCGAGCTGAAATTTGAAAAAAGTGATACTGGTCATATTATATAGTTAAGGACAATCTGATACGCCTATGTAAACAGAAACAGATGTTTGTTTGTTGTTAAGTACAAAGCTATCGCAACCCGATTTTGAGCGTCATAAGTCCAGAGACTTACCATTGGGTCTTTTTAGCCTTTACATATTTTCTCAGATAATAAATTTCCGATAATTCATTTACAATATATTACACCTTCTCGGTCATCAACAAGTAGTAACTTTGAAAGAAAAAGTCATTCTGGATATCTCCACACCAGCTATACTATGGGCTATCTATGTTGTGCCCATCATGGAACACCAATTTTTAGCATTACAAACCCTCGCCCTACCGCGGTGCCACTAGGGGGGGGGTGTAGGCGACTCTGAAACTGATAATAAAAATGAAAAAGATACTTAAAGAAAACATATCTTAAACACTTCATTTCTACAAAATCAAACACAATTCATCTTGTTGTCACTTGTCGTTTTAAATTCCAGAACACATATTCTAAAATAAAAAAAAATCCATTTATTCGAACGCAAGCAATTGTTTAAAGAAAGTTTTTATACTGAAATCATCGTCGTTTTCTTCCAGAAGGGAATGAGTTTATGGATATTCTAGTTAATGAAAAATGTTAGATACACAGTAAATTAGACAAACCCAAATGCCTCTCAGACAGCGTTCAAACACGCTCAAAAAACTCCATGATGTTCAATGAATCAACTAACTTCACCATTTTATCTAAATTGGGTTTAAGACAAAAATTTGTGTTTGATATATTTAACCTGAACGACATCTTAAACGTTGGCTAAACAGTCCAGTCACATATAGTCTACCCACGTTTGACTTTGCTTATTGGATTTAGAGTCTTCTCGTACAGCTACAAAATGGTTATCTTCGCATAACTGTCCCTAATTCCGAACAAATAGATTGAAGGAAAATAAGCCAATGAACTGCACCCACTGACAACTCTTGGGCTACTATTGTCTGACCGAACTGTAGGATTTGTCGACATTCTTACAATGTACCCATGGCCCCAAAGTGCAGTGCGTGTTTTTGCGGTAAAAATATGCGAATCATGAACATTTGGATTCACAGTCTGGGTACACTAACCATTGAGTTATGTCCGGCCTTCTTAGTTTGAACTGCTAACCGAGGTGAAGGCAGATAATTAGTAATCGTCGTCACGAGGAATCTATTTAGCTTTGATTGCCATAATCTCACCAAAAATAGCCCGCAGTATCAGTAAAACAACTGGAGAGTTTTCGGTTTTACTGTTTCGCGGAATAGTGGCTGTATTTATTTTGATTTTATTGAGTCTTTAGATAAAAAAACAAACAAAACGGCCCGGCATAGCCAGGTGGTTAGGGAGCTCGACTCGCAATCTGCGGGTTCAAATCCCTGTCCCACCAAACATGCTCGCCCTTTCAGCCGTGGTGGCGTTATAATGTGACGGTCAATCTCACTATTCGTTGGTAAAAAAGTAGCTCAAGAGTTGGCGGTGGGTGGTGATGATTAGCTACCTTCCTTCTAGTCTTACACTACTAAATTAGTGACGGCTAGCTCAGATAGCCCTGGTGTAGCTTTGCGCGAAATTCAAAACAAACAAACAAGATAAAAAAAGAAAAACACAAATTGCCAAACAATCACAATTTTTATTAAAACCAAAGCCAAGTTTAACACTTCAACAAATGCTTTTGTGCTCCACTGGAGAGAGAGAGAGAGATTTTTATTTGTACTCTCTCACTAGTGTACTTCTATCTCAGATACCTGGATGAATCTCTTTGTCTTATGAGAATCTTTCAATGCCGAGCAACCTATAACAGAGCCTTTAAAAGTTTCAATAAGTTTAGCAATCTCATAAATCTACATCCAAAATGTAATCTGGAAAATATATCTAGTATCGCAAAATATATCCAAACTAGCAAAATATTTACCAAACAAACAAAACATTGCGATATATAAAAGGTTCTTCTCTCTCCAAGTGCACGTGCCATCCACCTGATTGAAGGCCACTCAAACATTAGTAAGGAATGTTACACCCTTGGACTGTTGCATGGTCCGCCACCAGAACAGATCACTGTTTCTATTTATAGCATCTTCTATGCTACTGTAATCTCCCCTAATGGAGGATACATGTGATGCCCTTGGTGATTCATCCAGTCCCGTGTATAATTAAGGCGACAGAAACTTGGTTGTTCCCATGACCGAATTTCTATAACGGGAGCTAAACACATTCTGCGTACACAGAAATTTTGAAAATTCTAAAAAAAAACAAAAAAACCACTAATTAAGGGAGAAGGCAACGCATGTTATATCCGTATATTACCAAACAAATAACGAGATTGATTGTAATTCTTGTTACACATTCAAAGTTGAAAGTACGGAGCGTATTCAACGGCATTGCGGCACGTACCTTCGATCTTATGATACTGTAGCTTGGCATAATAACCACTAGACTATGTCTGACTCATTTAGAACACAGAAAAGTAAAAAGAGAAGTAAAAGAGACCTATTAGGTTGGTACTTTGAATACTGTTCATTTTAATTTTTATTCCAAACGTAAATAAATTCTTTATTGGATAAAAGTTAAGTTGTTGTCATCCATTTTATTTATTTCCACATGAGATTTGTTTGATTTCATTTTATTTTTAATCTGATTAATTTCTACTCTATATTTTAAGTATTATCAATTCTTTTATCGTGCCTTTATTATTAATATTTTATTCATTTGTAATTTTAATTAAAAATTATTTTCTAAACTTTCTTTATATTACGCTATTTGTAGCTTATGTTAGTTTTTCATATTACTCTTTTCTATGCCCCCAGTAGCACAGCTGTATGTCTGCGGACTTACAAGGCTAGAATCCGGGTTTCGATACCCGTGGTGGGCAGAGCACAGATAGCCCATTGTGTAGCTTTGTGCTTAACTTGCAACAAACAAACAAACTCTTTTCTAGTTTTGGATAATTTCTCTAGTTTTTTCCCGCCTCGCCTACTAATTATTTTGTTTCTCAAACTGTCTCTTTCTGTCTTATTCCTGTTATAACTGTTGTATAAATAAAATCAGTTACACTTCCAACATGCTTTTTGAAAGCTAATATGAGCTGCTATAGATACCTACGACGTCAATGAGATGATTTCACGCTTTACACTTTGCGATAATTCCTGATTTAACTCCGAAGAAGGACGGTGACACTTTGTTTTTTTCATTTCGTTTGTAAAATACAAACTATGTTATATATTACCAAGATACTTTTTGAAATAGCACATCCCACCTAGGAATAACTGCATGTACGGAATATTGCCTTGAACGTCGAAGTTTGGATGCGATGTTTGAAAGGCCGAACTTTGAGGGCAACCTGAAAAAAAGGCTTCAGAAATAAGGATGTTGTTCAATATGTGACGAATAGTAATTAAGAGCAAAAACAAAAACGAAAAAGCTAAGTTCCAACTTCGATAAAAGTAGGTTTTCCTTTAACATGCTACAGGGTTGTTTTATTCTAACTTCGATAAAAGTAGGTTTTCCTTTAACACGATACAGGGTTGTTTTATTCTTCAGTTCCTTTTATTTAATTTTCTCTACGCATTCTTGTTTATTTTTCAGAATGAGAGACACCGAAGAAAATATCATGAACTAATTCAATGAATTTTAGCCGAATTTGACTAACGCTATAACTATGACGTTTCAACGGGATAACAAGTTGGTTAGTTTTTGTACGGAATTTACAAATTCTGTTATCATCGATCGATATTAATAAGCGTCTTGTCAGTAATATTTCACCTGAATGTAATAATTTATATACTTATCAGTTTTCTGATTTTGTTTTCTTGATCTTTACAACTACAAGAATACTTCAGTCTCTGTTTTTTTTCATTTGTATTATAATGTCTTTTTTTACTTGATACTGTACGTTTTATTTGCTTATGTTATTTATAATATAATGTGATAGACCAGGGTAATCATCTAAATGATCTATATGATTTAGTTTATTGTAATCAATAGTAAAAATATAACCCTCGTAAACTTACTAACAAGAATGACAGATAAAAGGCTATGTATTCATTGATTATTTTGTATCTAATTTTGAAATGTTTAAAATGAAGGTTATACATTAGTTCATTACTGATTGTGAACTTATTTTTTTATTTTAATATCCCAGAAGGAAAACTTATAAAAGATAAATTACATTAATACAAAGATATTATACAGCAAATTAACTGGGATTAATTGGACACTTGATATGGTATACATTATTTTAATGAAACATTAATATATATTTAATGTTTTTTTTGAAATCATTACAATAGCTGTTTGTCTGTTGTAATAAGGAATGCTAAATATATAAAGTTATTAGAATACATTAGAATAAATCTTGAATAAACAATGATGTAAAAAAAGACTTAAAAAGAAATTAGCTTTTAGAGCTAAATAATCTGGTTATAATAATGATAGAAATAAACATACTTTGCTCAAAAATAAATTATCAGCTTTTGTTCGAAATATAAAAAACCACTTATTATGATGGTATTGTTGCGTCATCGAGGTCACGTGACTGGTGTGGCGCCACCTATTTTCTAGAACTATCCTGAACCTTAGCGAATGCTCTAGTATTTACTAGATATAGGGTAGTCTGGTATATAAAAGAGGGTGACA